AAGGCACTGTCAGCACAAGAAGGTAGACAGCTGTAAAAGGGCAAGGAAACAGTTCCGCCAACACCACGCCATCCAATCTTTAAGAGAAACAGGGCAATTCCAAACGCCAGATTTGCAAGCAGCTGGGAGCCTTTACTGTCAAGCAGCCTGGGATCTCAGGAGATGCACGTTGCATTGTAAAGTCTCTAAGCAGCATGATAAAAACAACTTGCAGAAAAAAACTCCACCCCGAACTGGTCCTAAGCACCACCTTCATCCACCACTACAGGCAGAGAGCTGCCAGTTTGCTCACAGTCCTTCCCTATCCAGAAGAAAACCAGTACAAAGAGCTCATTTGCTGACATGATGCACCGGCATTACCAAACACATAGAACGCTTTTGTCCAAAGAGTGCTGTTAGATATTTGCCCGACCAGAACTACCTAGCTCTTGGGGTGCTGTATGTAAATCCATTCTTTCGCTGTATCTAATTCACTGGCTTATCAGACGCAACTCCAGTTGACAACTGTTCCCCCCCCCCCCGAGATTAGCCAAAAATACCTCTCTTCCTTGCACTTCTAAAGGGAAAGACCCTGTATGGGTTTTGATCCTGAGAAGTTTCTTTCTCAGAATCAAAGTTGGGAGGGATCAAAGATCACCCAGTCCAGCCTCCTACCAGTCTTTCAAAAAATGTTTCATAGCCTGATCTAGTTCCAATATGCCTTATTGTTATAATCTCTACTGGACATTTGCAAGTGTTTTTCCTTGCTGTGGACTGGGAAGGGTGGGAGACTGATATGAGGACTCTTGCATCACAGGCCATCCTAAATGATAAGTACAGGTTGTAAAGAATCTACCCTAATTTCATATGCATCATAAAATGTGTTTTCCCCAAATAGTGCCTCTGTTTAGAATGAGGTTCACGTATGTCCCTAAGCTAGCACTACCTTTATAGGTAATCTTTCTTATTGTATGTACTTATTATGTTTATGGAAAGCCACCTAAGAATTCTCTGGGCAGCTTTGAGCCTGGAGGACACGACTATTAGTACTACTGATTAATATGACTAAATCAGAGCAGTATTCCTGTAGATATCAATAGCTGCTGAAGAGGAATCAGAGTGTGCTGTCATATTTATGTGCTGCTCTTGGGCTTCCCAGAGACAAGTGGGGCCATTATAGAAACAGAATGTTGGAGCAGACTGCCTGTGATCTGATTCAGGATCAACAGAGTTCTTACATTCTTAACAGCAGGGTTCCTCAACCTTGGCGACTTGAAGATGTGTGGACTTCAACTCCCAGAATTCCCCAGCCAGCATGGGTTGCTGGGGAATTGGCATGGCTGGCTGGGGAATGCCGGGAGTTGAAGTCCACACATCTTCAAGTCGCCAAGGTTGAGGAACCCTGCTTAACAGTATAAAACACACTTAAAATTCTCAATATCATAAAATAACGTGGGACATAAACATTTTTCGTATAAAAGATTCTTGGGAAAATAACAGCAATTACCAAATATGCAACACAGACAGTGTTTAGAAGAGTATATGTTGATGTTTTTAAAGCACTGAGGAAAAAATAACATTTTTCAGTTCCAAAGTACCTAGGATGAATGCTGCAGGAAAGCATCTTCTGGGAAAGGAATACTACAACCATGATGCCACCATTAAAAGGACTTTGTCTCTAATAGTTGAATGTCCCTCCCTTCACTTGCTGAGACATCTGGAACAGCTCCTCGGAAGGAGACCTCATGATTCTGTATTGTAAGTGGGAGAAAGTGATCTTTCAGGGTTGTTGAATACAGCTTCTGGGGATTAGTCGTATGGAATAATGATCCTGAAATTAAAAAAAGAAAAAAAGTCATAGACCAGCCTTCTCTCACCTGGTGGACTCCCGATGCATTGGACCAAATCTCATTCAATCCTCATTCCGCATGGACAAATTGTTGTGCTGGGTGATTATAATGGAAACTGTACTCCAATGGATCTAAGGCTGGTGTGGACACCCTTAGAATATACAGTTGAAAATTATGCTAAATAATGGGGAGGTGAGAATCCTGTTGGGATCATCAGGCAACACCTTAGCTTAACATTTTACGTGACGCTGAGGTCAAAAAGATGTTCTGAAGAAACAAATGCCCTCAAGGAAGGAGTCATATCCAAAATGCATAAACCTACAATAAATCTTTTTCTGTAACACCTCCCTTCCCCCCGAGTTCATATTATCAGTTGTCATTCTCATGCATATCTTTTTGTTTACGCAGATAAGAAATCTTGTTGCAAACGACTAAGATGCTACAAGAGTATAGACTGGTTGCGTAAAAAAGCTTTTACTGTTTGGATCTTGGTCCACTCTAAGCAAGACCTGCACCTCAGTGGTATGACTTTGGAATAGCTGCCAGAACGGTCAGCTTAGACATCGGATTAGGAAGTGTTAGAACAGCCCCATTCAATTCCACTTCCCTCGGTTGCATGTTTCGAAAATAGCCCGGAAAGTGGCTTTGCCTGAATACTGTATGTGGATTTTATTTTTGCACGCAAGAGGGCAGTAAGAGAACAGAGACTAAGTGAGATCAAGCAGGCTACATGTGAGTGAGAGAATCATCTGCATGCACATTCAAGAAGCAAAATTGCTTTTTAAAAATATGCCACATCAGGTAAGCAGCTGTTTTTGAAAATCCTTTCTCCAAGAGATTCCTGACATGTCCCTTCCCCATCCCATTCTGTCTCTTTTTTGATAGTGTATTGAGTGGACTTCGTTTAATTGTGTAAGTAGCAGCCAGCAGGTTTTCTTACATGCGTTCTGTTTCCTGGAGAAAAGCCATTCAAATAAACACGCTTGCAGACCAAAAACATTCAGGATATCATCCAGAAAATGATGAAATATTTACCACCCCACCCCCCTCGTGTAAGTTCCAAATTCAGTTTCCTCAGTTAATATCTAGTCCCTTTGCCCTGACTTGGAAAGTTGTGTGGAATGTCTGCTGAAATCTCAGAAGGATAGGGTAAGGGACCAGTTGTTTCCCATGTTTAACGAAACCAGAAGAAACCATTAATAAATTATATAATACGTTTAAAATTGGTTTGGTTTGTAAGATTTACACTGATAGTAGAATTCAGTTTTCCTCGAGGCCAAATCGGAACTGCAGGGTGCAATTTTTAAAGCATGATGCAATGTATATACAGCACCCTACATATCCTATGCTTTCTATAGAATTAAACTTTATCTAACCATACATCTCTGAATTTGTATGTTGATATTTCTTGGTGAGCTAAGAACAACAATTTCTTGGTGAGCTAGGGCAACAGTTGTTATACAAATTCTCTAACTGATAAATCAAAAGTTCTGGGAAGATTAGCCAAATATCAAAGTGGATATACAAAATGACCTTTAGAATCAGGTTCAAAGAAGAGCATTTCTGTAAATATTTATCCAAGCATTATATACTTCTAAGAGATTTTTACCCTTTATTTGGGGCCCAAGGTTGGAAAGAGCTAGCTACAATTAACCACTGCCATTCTCATTTTGTACTGTGAATGAATAATGGCAGAGAAAACCCTCCATATACAGATCCAGTCTTTTCAAGCTTAAGAGACTCCAGTGGGTGGTCTTCACCTCAGTCCTCTCCCCAAATTCTGCAGCCTTGGAGGCTTAATGTTTGCTTGTAGAGACCTCAGTCATCTGGTTCAGAAATCACCTAAGCTATCAGTTCCTTAACTTGGTTTATTGAATAAAGTGCAACTGGCTGAGTTCACACATTAAGCCAGAAATCATGATTTTACAGATCACAAAGCAAGGCCAAACAAACCACATTCAGATGGAGTGTGATATGTGCCCTGAGTGGGTTGAACTGAAATATCTATGCATTCTGTCCTTTCCTTGCCCATGTCAAGACATCAGTCTTGCAGCATTTTTCCTATACCCCTTGGTCTGGATAGGCCCATCCTGGATTCCATTTAGAGTGTCACATAAGTTAGGGCTACTAGATCTGGGCCCCAAAATGCTAAACAGTGGCTAGATGGCAGCAAAGTGTCTTTGCTGCCATCTAATGGTCATCCCGGGGACCTGCTAGCTCTAAATATAGTTCCAGGAAGGCTGACATGCAGAGTCCAGCGGGACAATCAGTGAGTACCTGTGTCCTGAATGTTGTGTTTCGTCAGCAGTCCATTGACTTAAGGCTCTCCTCATAGCCAGTAGAGCAACCTTGCTTGCTCACCCTAGTATCTTCCAGGTGTTCTGGACCAGAACCTCCCTCATGCTGAGTCAGCATGGCCACATTTGCAGGGATTATGGGAGTTGTAATACAAGATGATGCCAAGGTCAAGTTATAGCTTGGTGGGTTACATGAACCACTGGAGCTACGTATTTTAGATATACAACCTGTTTATTATTTGTTTATTTATTTATTATAAGAGGGGTTATCTCTTCCTCCTCCCTGCTCCAAAGGACTGCAATTCCTATTTTCCGCATCAACCG